ATATTTCCCTTCCATTCTCTAACTCGGCCCTAATTGACCTAGCACTGCCAAACTTGGTATACTTTACACATCTTGGGGAGTATGTGTGTCGAGTACCAAAACAAGGTCACTGTGGCTTTTATTTGTCCTTGACCTTGACCTTCATCATATTTCTCTTCCACTCTCTAACTCGGCCCCTAATTTACCTAGCGCTACCAAACTTGGTATACCCACACATCTTGGGGAGAAGGTGAGCAGCATACCAAAACCAGGTCACTGCGACCTTTATTTGACCCTTACCTTGACCTTGATCATATTTCCCTTCCCCTCTCTAACTCGGCCCCTAATTTACCTAGCGCTACCAAACTTGGTATACCCACACATCTTGGGGAGAAGGTGAGCAGCGTACCAAAACCAGGTCACTGCGACCTTTATTTGACCTTTACCTTGACCTTGATCATATTTCCCTTCCCCTCTCTAACTCGGCCCCTAATTGGCCTAGCGCTACCAAACTTGGTATACCTACACATCTTGGGGAGAAGGTGAGCAGCGTACCAAAACCAGGTCACTGCGACCTTTATTTGACCTTTACCTTGACCTTGATCATATTTCCCTTCCGCTCTATAACTCGGCCCCTAATTGATCTAGCACTACCAAAACCAGGTCACTACGACCTTTATTTGACCTTTACCTTTACCTTGATCATATTTCCCTTCCGCTCTATAACTCGGCCCCTAATTTACCTAGCGCTACCAAACTTGGTATACTTACACATCTTGGGGAGAGGTGTGTCGCGTACCAAAACCAGGTCACTACTACCTTTATTTGACCTTTACCTTGACCTTGATCATATTTCTCTTCCGCTCTATAACTCGGCCCCTAATTGACCTAGCGCTACCAAAACCAGGTCACTATGACCTTTATTTGACCTTTACCTTGACCTTGATCATATTTCTCTTCCGCTCTATAACTCGGCCCCTAATTGACCTAGCGCTACCAAACTTGCTATACTTACACATCTTTGGGAGAATGTGTGTCGCATACCAAAACCATTCACTGCAACCTTTATTTGACATTGACCTTGACCTTGACGTTCATCATATTTCCCTTCCGCTCTATAACTAGGCCCCTAATTGACCTAGCGCGACCAAACTTCGTATACTTACACATCTTGGGAAGAACACGGGGATACATGTAGTTGGCGACAACTGCCCTTTCTATAGTTTTAATAGTGTTTAGGGTGAACCACTGTGATTGCTGACATTTGGCGAACAAACAAAGTTTTCTGCATTCCTATTAAAAATTTTGGATTCAGTATAACACATTTTACGCTCACAAACTGTGCTGGTACATGAGCTGGCTTTGGATGCTGAACTCTATTTTCCCATATATGTCTTTATACACAGAAGTGAGACAAAGGATTATTCAACTCCATACCACACTACAGTGAAAATATACACTAACTTCAGTACACAAGTAGGTCAGAGTGAAAGATGGTTTAACAAGTTCAAGGTTGAGAATAAGATGAGATTAAAAAAGATTATTCGGGCAGGACATATTTTTGATTACACATTTTCAAATTTACATACAGCTATATAAAACTGGCGAGCTCTATAGATAGATAGCATTACTATGCTTCAGCATTTATTAAATATAGGAACCACCGCACTAAGTCCTTAGGCACCCAATTGTAGGCCATCGATAGAGGTCAATAAAGGCATATGGTACTTCTTCCAGTTCTCCTGGTACTTCTGCTGTACTTACATTTCATACTATAATATTCATATTTAAATTCATATATTATTTAATACTTGTTATTACATACAATAATGAATTAATTAAAAATTATTTCAGAGAGCATACACTTCACCACGAGTAGGGCTGTCAAATCACATAATGGTCAACCCAAAAGACAAGCGGGTTGTGGCATGTATGGTGGACACTACGGCTGTGATTTCACTTTTATTTATTTATAATGATGGTATTGGCAAAAATAACACGAGCTGGCAAAACTACTCGCCATCAGTGCAGTAAAAAATTGCTGACATGTGACAACACGGGGCAGCTAAAGTACACCAAGTCTATGTATGTACGCTATGAAAGACAACAGCAAACATAAAAGGCCATAACAACTGATTAAGGCAACTCGCATACATTTGTGAACAAGACAAATACTGAAACAACCACACTGAGATGCCAAAACTACAGCTCAATTAGAAATTCCTTATTGTGATCACTGGTGCATGTCTTCAAATTAGCGAACACTAAAAACGTACGTGAAATCTGATGAAGACAGAAAATTTTGCCATAAATGACAAAAACAATATGTGTGCACTACAACACACAGAAATTAAACAAGGCAAGTAATGGAGTCAATACCGGTGACCGTAATAGCTCAACTAAAGCAACTAAAATGGAAGAAAGATGTAACAGATCAGTCGCAACAGTGCTGCAAATAACAAACATTACATTTAAAACACCAGTGAGAAAGAATGCAATGGCGGCTGGTAGAACACCTGACAACGTATATATGGAAGTAACAACCATGCATCGCTAAACCTAGTTTTTTTATGTGTGGGAGGGTCAACGGCACACAGCGCGTCCGCAGGATGGACCTGATTTTGACCTTGACCTCGATCTTGATGGAACTTCGATCTCGACCTGAAAGTTGCGAGCTCTGCAGCCATGTGGATGTTGGAAGGTAGTTAGTTTCATAGCCAATCACCATGGTACGAAAGGATTTTCTACCGGAAGCAAGAGAGAGCAACTTGGGTGTTTTGTTATCAAAGATTGTAGGGAGTGCAAACGTGCCTGAAAATGTTCTATATGTAGGCTGGGCTCTGTCCGTGTATGACGTAGATTTGTGGCATTCGTCTTAAGTCGGCCAGTTCTAATTACAATGGGAAGATGTGTGGGATGGAGGGTCATCATAGGTGTGACCACCATTACAAACAATTTAACAAAGCCGAGTGTTCTTCCCTGTATTTATTCAAGTTTGTTCATGCTTTCCTTTATTGTGTAGTGCCAAATGGCAGGCTGGTAGTTGCAATTATTGAGGCAATATGACATGTATGCTTGCAGTCTAGATTTGCAATACAATTTTAAAGTATTTTCCAAAGTGTTTTATCACCCAGGATTTTTATGGAGCCACTATCAGTATCATATGAGGATGACTATTATGTACAGAATGTTTCTGTACTTTTCACTCATGACAATATAGATAAGACAAGCATAGATAGGAAAGATCAGAAATCTAAATCGCTTTGCCTTTCTCAGCTCTGTTATGTAGATAGCAAGAAATGAAAGCACAGGTGTACACTGGCTAGTACAATTAACTTCATAATCTTGTACGGATTAGTCTTCAAAGTCCAAGGGCAGGCCCGTAGCCAGGGGGGGTTCTGGGGGTTTTCGAACAACCCCCGCCCCGCCGAGCCTCCCAAGCAAAAAATGTTTTTGCTTGTAAATTTGCAAGAATTTAACCTCAGGTCGCTCCATTTTGTGTCAATAAATTGAAAATCGTTCACATCGTGTGCCGGGAGGTGTGAACAGTGAACACCGGCCGCGCTCCACACCGCCTCCCCCCTCGGCGCTGCTCCCTCGCTGGTCGCTTCGCGCCCCGAGCAGGGGCGTGTACAGGGGGGTCCAGGGAGTCCGGATCCCCACTTGCTCGCGCAGAAAACGCATCTGAGGGGGTGTAATTTTAAAAATTGTAACACCCCCGCTTCGCGGTGCTCGCAACTTGGCTTACGGTTAGACCCCCTGGTACAAATCCTGTAGCACGCGCCGCTGCCGAGCAAATGCCAACCATTGAAAAACGACGCCCCCAATATAAGCTGGCTAGCGGGCAAAGAGCTTAAAATGATAACGAGGTGACACGTTTCCTCATCTGAACGCATGTAAATTATTGCAGTGCTGGGCCACTAGTGACACGATGATTAAAATGACTATAAACCATAGGCTGGGGGGGGGGGGGCTCAAGATAAATTTATCATTCTTTTGATGCTTTTTTTATTAATATGCCAATTATTGAAACATTGGAGCAGAGTGACTATGTTTGCGTCAATGCCACCATAAATAAACACGTGCTTCAGGCTAAAAATAAACTGAGCAAATTAATTCACACAGAGAAAGATTCTTGTCCTTGTTCAACATGTAATAATGACCTTGCAATAGCAATTTAGTTAATTTAATATCTAAATGTATCTATTTACAAATGTTGTAATTTCATAACCTTTCTATTTCTTTTGCATGTTTTTGATGCACTTGTGTTAATATTAAAGCATTTTCAAAGTGGCATGATGCAATCGTATTTTCATGTAAAATATCATCATTCGGTGAATTTTTCAATGCATTGAGCATCTTCACATGTAGTAACCACCTCTGGCACAAATTCTTTGGCAGTCAAACTTAGCTCTGGTAAGACTCTGTCATGTGCATTGAAAGATGGAAACAATTTCCAAAGCATGTTTCCAAACTATCTTAAAAACCAACAAAACTGGAAGTTGGCATGACAAGCAACCCTGATTTATACTCTTTGTGCTCAGAAATTCATACAATGAGTTTTGCCTGTGCATCGCCTCTTCTGTATAGTGAGTAACTTAATTCACCCCTACACATGTTAAGCATTCAGTAAGCTGGTAGTGTTCCTAAGGATGTACGCTCGCTATAATAAGCTGTAACATCAGCTGAGGTAAAGCAGTGGGAGGTGTCATCAACATGCAACAATTCTGGTTCAGGAAGCACCTGCGTT